AACTGCCACCTTGGTAAAGTATACAGAAAACAGGAATGGTGGGAGATGCTTCAAGGGTAACAGGGGTATGAATGCCTGACAAATCATCACTGAGCAAGTCTGTACATGACTACACATACAAAAATACTAAAATGAGATGCACAGAGATACCTTTTACAACAAAGTACCTTATATATGCAAATACATGGCCTAGAACTCAGTGTAAAACCCGTAGCCCACTGACCTCCTTCAGCACATACCAACCACGAGGCTGTCTCAGCACCCAAAATACCTGGTAGAGCAACCAAATTGGGGTGGGCTGGGGTAACGGTTTTCCACTGAGAGCATCCCTGCTAGCACAGCACTGCTCTTCCTCCTCCGGCAGCACATTCACTGAAGGACCACTCAGGTCAGCTCCGGCAGCCTCTAGGTTGGAGTGATTCAGCAAACTGCAAGCTAAACGCAGCCCGAGGTGCATGAAAATTGGCCATCAAGCCTCGCTGCAGGAGAAAATCTGAGGACAAGAAGTCAGAGCGAGTTCAGAGAGACGCAATTAGCATAACGAATTGGAAAGGGAAGAGATGACATGAGAAGAGACTGCTAGAAATTAATCTAGGCAGTAAAAAAAAGCAACTGAATAAGAGCTGATTTAATCATATGAAATAAATAGCTGAGCTCTTCAGAAAAAAAAAAAGAGGAGTGGCTATTTTCTGCAGTAGAGGGGAGGTAAAACTGGAACAAAAGTAATCAGATAACTGCACGGAAAAAAAATCTTAACACAAATAATTTAAATGTAAAAGTACTTTTCCCAGGCTAAGACTGTGTTCCACACATGAAAAAGACCAAACTTTTTTCCATATCATAACTTCTTCTCATAGATAAATTCACTCTGAAATAAACCCCTCTTGTCTATAATGACAGGGAGCTCACTTTGCTACATCAAAACCAAAATTTAAAATATGTTTATCCCTTGAGCCCCACAGAATTTGACGCACTTAAGTCAGAATTTGCTGGGATGAACACAGCTCCAAAAACAAGCTGTTTCATGACAGGCCAGGCACCAAATCACAGCCAAAACCCAGGTTTATATAACGATCTATTTCATCAGAGATACTTGTCACAAAATGATTCAGCTCAACAATTTGCTTTGGGAATCCAACCCCTAGGGACCAAATGTATCCAACAAAATCCACATATCCCTTGCAAGGGGCTAAGACCTAGCAAGGATGAAAAAAGATTACTTACTACATAGAGAAGTTGATGTTTCTATCTTTGGAACATATTTTCCTGCAATTACCCACCACAAAGCAAAATTATTTGGACTGTCAGAACAAATGTGCCTCTGCAAATCACTGACTACAAAGATTACCAGAAAACTCATTAATTTCTTCTGTTGCTTTTCTGGTGAATTCTCTCCTGTTCTCAACTCCTCAAAAGGAAATAAATGTTGCCCCATAAGGGAAGAAGCAGGGTGTACCCTTCATTCTGGTAATCTGTAAAGGAAATATTCCACCACAATGGCAAGAAAACTTGAAAAAGTTCATTTTTATACGAATGAATGAGATGGAGCCTCAGCAAAGAAATCAGAAGGAAGGAAAGAAATCAGAAGGAAGGAAAGAAATCAGAAGGAAGGAAAGAAATCAGAAGGAAGTCCCTGTCCAACAGTCGCAGGCAGAGCTCCACATGAGCCATGCCATGGGCTCTGCTCTGAAAAGTACTCCAGATCTCTAGGAGTCTTAAAACAGACGTGGTGATTGATTATAACATTATACATAACCATATATATCAATCACCACGTCTATTTTAGATATTAGATTAAATGTTAGATATATATACAGATATATAAAGGCACCAGAACAAGTTCACTACCACTGAGCAGGTGCAGAAGTCAAGTTCAGTGCCACATCAGACAGCATAAAGGACAACCCAGGCTCTTGTGCCTCTAACGTCATCTAAAGGTGATCTTTGCACAGGACAGTGACCAAATATGTAACTGCACTTGTGGAAAAAAGATGATAGTTAAAATCTAATAGTGAACTGAATCCGCACTTGGATTACAGCATTAGATAGACTTGATTTTGGTAGCCATGCACATACAACAATTGACACAACACCAGACTAGATTAAAACCAGAATTAAAATAAAGGAAGTAAACCCCCCCATCAGATGGAGAATCACACCGAATAAATCCAACCTCTTGTATCTGCAAACCATATGCGGCATAAACTGCAACGCCTTCCGCTTTCTCTTCCAAATGTTTGTTTGGTTTCTAATTGCTTTGGTTTATATCGACGCAATTCACTCTCACATAACATTTTGTTCTGTATACTCCTTGGGATAGAGAACGTGGATAAAATTCGCAATCCAAAGACTGGCACTGACTTCTAGATTTTGCTTTGAGAAAAAAATTTAAAAAGCAAATTAGCAACTTTTCCACTTTGCCAAATGATTTCACCTATGAACACCTGCTCGTATTTATTTCAATAAATAGATACTTTGGTATATGCTGATTAAATTATAGAATCTAAACAATTAATTTCACAAATTAAAAGCCCTGAGAGGTTTCAGATAAACAGGACAAGTAGATTTGGATCAGCAATTCATCGTAAATCATGTGCTTTGATAAACTCTGGATATCTTTATTGTAGCACTTTAGCAGTACGTTCCTGGCAAACCTTTATTCCACTGCATCCGCATGCTCCACCACAGCCCAATAAAACCTGCTAAATTAGCACTGTGCTTATAACTCCGTTTGTATTCAGTGAACTGAGTGCTATCAAAACAGAGGGTAATTCAGAGAATTAACTTTGATGTAAACTCTACGACCCTAATAGCTAAGAAAGGTAACACCTACCAAGGACCCCATCCTCTTGCATATCCCAGATGACCAAACTCTGGCTAAAACACTAATTGTTCACTTCTCTGATACTTTGTTTCAAGAACTAACTCCTACCTTACATTAACTTTTTCTTTAACTTCTCATTTCTAATGTACATCTGTCCATCGCAGAACTGTTGTCCATACCACCAGACTAATTTTGTTGATAGTTTGGCTCACCTCAGTTCAAAAGAGATCCAGAAGAAAAGCGTTGCAAGCCCAGAATGCATAGAAAGCACTGGCAAATTTGCCACCCAATGAATCAAAGTTGCTCGTGTATCGCCTCCCTCCACAACATATTCCCCAAAACTACCAAGTACAAAATCAAGCAAGAAGTCAGACACTGGTCTGTATCATCAGCTGATGAAAACACCAAGCTCTGAAAGGGCTCTGAAATGAAATTCTGCAGCTGGAATAATAATTCATTGTCAACTGCAACTTCGACAAAGTTGAATACTTTAGCAAAAGTAGTGTTGTGATTTCATTAAAGAAGTGTCAAGATTGTAATTTTTTTAAATTATGTTTTTATAATACATACAATTTAAAAGGCATAATGAAGTTAACACTGAACAAACAACCTCAGTACTTGCAATTTAGTGTCCCTTCATATTTTGAATTAATTAAATATCTCTTTTGCATTAAAAAAGTCTATGGCACCTTTGACACCCATATTTTAAAAAATCAAATTAATTCCAATCTTTACGGACAGTTATTTTATCTAAAATTAAATTTCACCAGAAGAAGAGACACTGCTTTCTCGTGAAAAGTAAAACCACTATTTGAGTTACTTTTGCTGAAAACCATTCTGTGGCTTGCCCCAGACAAATTTCAGGGAGTGAGTGGGTGTCTGGAAGTAACGGGAAGTAAGTTCACTACAAAAAGCTGGCTATACTCTTCTGACAACTTTGTTTATGCGTTATACACTACAGCCAGGACACTGACAAAAGCCAACATGAATTTAAACTATGCTGCAGAGCAAGTCTAGAAAATCACTAGAGAAGCAGGGGAAAATTCTCTGTGTGTTAAACAAAAGTGAAGGAGTTGCTGCGCATTTCAGTGATGCAAAGATTTATATGCAGACTCTCTCCTTGAAGTCTGAGATACTGGATTAATTAACCTGTCGGATATACCCAGCTGCTGCAGCTAGGCTAATATCAGCATCTAATTTAAAACCAGTTCAGGTAAGCCCAAATGAAAATTGCACCTCATTCATATCAGAGGAAAACTATGGGACCTTGTTTCTAGGAAACAAATTAAGAATTCATATTACTTGTGCCTTTACATCTCTCACCCTATTAAAAAAAGAGTTTTCTTCAGTCAGGTTTACTACAGTAAAAAGAGTCAAAGTTAATATCAGCTTTATAATGCCATCATACAACAGAAGCTGTCAAATTCTTTCCCGTATCGTAATCCCTGCTCACTGACATCAAGATGAGCAGCACTTACCGCTTTGGAGGAGTCACAGCAGTTACCAGCACACAGCCCTGAGTCCCAGCCGGGACAGCTGAGACAGCGCACCCGCTGCACAGAGCGGCTTTGAGAGTCATCTCTCCAGATTACAAATCCAGCCTGGTTAGGTCTAACCCAAATTTTTATTTTAACCCACTGCCAACTGCTGTTTTTTAACATGACCCTAAAGCAAAGCCCTTAATACCCTGCTAATGGAGTGGCGGACTTTTACATTCTTAACTTCTCTAACACAGTTCACAAGTAGCAGCAAACTTTAAAAATAACAACGAGCAGACTACCATAAATAAAAAATGATATGAACCACAGTACAGACTAAACAGACTTGCCACTCCAAGATTTCACTGATTTTTTGGACAAGCTCAGTATTTGCTCTGATTTATTCTAGCCACCATTCTGCTGCCACTTTCTGCTTGACAGAGCTGGAAACAAAGTCCTCAGTCTCTGTACATTTTGCTTACTTTATGTTACTCATGATCAGAAGAGGACAATAATTTACCATTTTTGTTATAGATGCATAACTACATACGTCATTGGCAATATGCTGTGAAATTAATACACTGAGAAGTCAATGGAGTTGTTATCGCAGCTAAAGCGCCTGAAAACCTGGAGACAGAAAAGTGTAACTTTTATACAGTGATGTGCATTAAAAATTGGCAAACACATTAGGCTCTTACCAGGAATGGACTCCAGCAAATGCAAGAAACACACATTATAGCCAAGAGCTGAATGATCATTTCAAAATGATGAGATCTGCCTTGTCTTTGTTGACTTTTAAATTTGACTCTTAAGAGGGTAATTCCTGTGACAGCATTGCACAAGAGTGAAATAGCAAGGGCCAGTAACCCAAGGCAAGAAAAAAGTAAGAGATAAAATCTGTCTTCCCAGTCCTCAACATGTTCTGTTTTATAGAAGCACCAGGTCCTCGATGCTTGAATTTGATAGGCTCTAAACCTAAGAATAGGCAGCAAAGCTATAAGAACAGCAAACAGACATACCATAGTCAACATCATTTTCACATGTTTAGAAGTCATTTTTGTAGAGTGAAATATTGGCTTAGTGACTCCAATGCACCGTTCAACAGCCATCACGCTGCCCAGGAAGAGTGGGCACAAACCAAAGAAAACCATGCAGATGCCAAAAACACTGCAAAGAATGTTGGACTGGTTAAATCGAATCCAGTCTTTATCCGATGCATACACAAACACTGCGATGGCTCCATTGATGAGGTGGCCAAAGAGATCTGTGACGACCAAACCACTAGCAAGAAGCAAAAAGGAGGCTTTCGATTTCTGTCTAAATCTCTGATACGCCTTCAAGAGAATTGCAATTGCCAGACTGTTGGACAAAATTCCCACCGTCATGAAGATTATTGAAAAGAAAACTGAAATCTTCTTCTCCGTGTGGCAGGTTGAGTTTTTTAAGATGCCAAATCCAGCCAGCCCTGGTGATTTTGAACTGTTCATGGTTAGGAAAGGAGAGGCAGCCCTCAAAACATTTCAGCAGTCTTGCAATCAAAAGGCATCTGCAATATTAAAAACAAATGTACACACGCTGTAAAAAGCATCACACTGTTCAAATGACATTTGAAGCACAAATTCCTTAATATTAGTCTGTGCTACAAATCTAATGTTCCAGTTTTCTGAGTGATATGATATGGCATCGTATTTTAAGCACATCAGTCACAGGATAACACAATTATCTGCATGCATTAAGAAATGCAGATATGGCATACAGTACTTTCACAGTCTCTGTACACACAAGATATACAAACTAATGTATATATGCTCATGTGCATATAATCAGAGAAAGCATACAAAACATTCTTGCGGTTAAACTACGTATATAAACAAATGCTTTTGCAACATACTCCTAGAATGAAAGCATTTATCAACCCAACCACAGTCAAAAGTTAAATACTCAAACTGGAATGTTTTGAGATTATAATCACTCTCCGTTTTTCTTTTCACTGTTAAGCATTTATTTTCAAAACAATGTCCTAACATCTTCCAAGTAATCTTCCTCTCAGAATTCAATGTTTTAAAGCTTTAACGTAACCAACACTGAAGTCTCCAACTCCCCAGTTCCCTCACTGAAGCACAAAACATGTACTTTAGACTCTGCCTTATTCAGAAGCCAATCCTACAAGTTACTTTATCTCCCATCTCTACTCTCAGGACATTCCTG